GTAAACAGGAGCCTACTAGGACCATCTAGACTGTTGGAAGTCAGGGTGATGAAAGAGGCTATTTTTGCTGTAATTGATTGCTGTGCTTCATTGCCTCAAAAGTTTATATTAAAAAACCTCAGTCACATGAGTGTGTCATTTTTATTCACAGGGATGTACAATATGTATCATGCCCTACCCAGAAGGCATCCAAGTATCTAAGGTGCCAGTATCCTCAGCTATGATTGTTGAAGCTGTGGAACGTAGTAGGAAGGAAGGTATTTTCATTACTTAAAGACTGGAAAAAATGGAAATAGAACTGAAGCCATGTAACCAGGTTTATTTGTTATTTTACATTTTTTATATAATCATGAAGAAGAGCAATTGAACAGACATGCATGAGCAAACACCATAATCTCCTTGAGGTTGTATATTTGTTACAAACTACTAATCCCTAAAAATTATTCTTTACAGTTACAAGTTTTGAAAGAATAAAACTCTAACTATCAAACTTTGCTGTTTTGTGTGAAAGAATAGGTAAACCAAAGTTTCATCAGTAATCTGTCAAATACACAGATGAGACATATGACATTATTAATGTTTTCAGTGAGAAACAGCAAATGGCAGCAACAGTGAAACAAGATGATAATACTGGGGGGCAGTGGTCAGTCTTCATATTTCATTATCATTATTTTCTTACTTTCACGCAGTGGCCCCAAGTCAGTACAAATAGTCAAAAAACTTGAGTCACACCCCACCCACCAAAAAAAATGCATGAGATCAACTCATTCATAATACCATATTTACTTGCATACTACATACACCTTATTCCCAAAAATCAGCTCTCCAAAATTGGTGTGTGCGCCTTAAGCAGGGGAGATAATTTTTATTTGTTGGTATAGAAACAGGGAAGAATATTAGAGCAGGGCATCTGCTTGCTTCAGGCTGCTAAGATGGCTGCCATTTGTTTCTGGGTGCAGCAAGCAGAAGGGGGTGGAGTCCTGTGTTAACCCTCTAACAATCATAGCTATTGGCTGAGCACTGCATTTTGTACTTTGATCAGCAATTGAGGATAGCTCAGAGCAAGTGAGCTGCTACATGCAGTCTTTAGTATTTTGATGAGTCTTTTGGTATGGAAACAACACTATTATTTACAGGAACTTTTATATTGAACAAGTTACAGCAGGAGTGGGCAAAATGCAACCCGGGGGCCAGATGCGGCACACTAGGCCATTCTATCTGGCCCGCAGGGCCCCTAAAAAATTTAGAAAATTAATATTTATCTGCCCTGGGCTGCCTGTCATGTGGCCCTCGATGGCTTGCCAAAACTCAGTAAGCAGCCCTCTGCCCAAAATAATTGCCCACCCCTGAGTTACAGTCTTGCCACTGCCCTTGCAAGAGTTTGGGCCCTAACCCTGTTGCTGCCTGCCACACCAGGAAGATCCTGCTGCCTCACCCAGATTATTTCCTGAGATGCCACACTTCCTGGACACACTGTTTCTAGAAGTACTTACTCTAAGCCACACAGTTGGTCATGACTCTTGTGGTGTTTCTGCCTAGGGCCTAGCGTCGTATTCCTACCCCTTCTTACTGGGATTGCTCAGTCTTAGACTCCCTGCGGTATGTTCCAACTCTCGCCTGCCACGTCTTGATTTTTCTATGATGTTATTAGTCAGGAGGTGTTACTTGCTTTTTACTTCTTTCTACTGCACTAACCTACGTGGGGATTTTCTTGGGCTCCAGCCTCCCCTGTATCCCTTCCAAGCACCACCCAAAAGTTATGTCATTGATTGAAATCACAGTTTTATTTGGGTAAAACAATTTTCTTTATTATTCACTTCTCCATTATTTTCAAGTTTTATTTTTGTATCTAGAATCAACCCATAGTTCAGTGGGTTAGTATTACTTCACACAGTGTCAGGTAAGTCTTAATTGTAACTTTGAGAGGATTCAGCTCACCCCAGTCTCACTGGGTGTCCAGTTTGGGATAATCCTAACAACAGTTCAAATAAAACCAAGGAATTCCATCTTTGTCCCATCCCATGTCTTCTCTGACAGATCACACTACCTCCTGGTGAGGTTCTGCCTCAACAGGGCTCTCAAGACCTGCCTGTCTCTTTAAGGGTTTGAGTAAGTTGCCACCACTCGGGCTCTCTCATTCCTAAGTCTCTCTAGAGCCCAATTGGGTCAATTTAAAGTCCAAACGGAAAAAAAACAACCAACAAAACCAACTTCCGCTGTAATCTGCATGACAGGTGCCTTTCTCATAGCGCAGCTGTCTCTGCTGGAGTTCCCTTGCCGCTTGGGACACTGCAGAGGTGAATCTGCTGCACCGGTGACCGCTGGCTCAACAGGACCCGGCTGAGCTTTCTTCCCCCCTCAAAACCAGTCCCAGGGGATTCCCCCTTTCACACCACATTCTCAGGCTTTCCCAGGGACATCCTGCGCTCTCTGCTTTCGGCAGCATGCCCCTCTACCCCCAGGGCTGTTCTATCTGAATCGAGCAGCTGCTCCAGGAACGTCACTCCCCCTGCGTCATCTTGTCTCCTCCCTGCACCGTTTTGTTCCCTGTCCATTTCTCTCCACAACTCTGGACAAATCTCTCTCTCTTTCTTTTTTTTTTTTTTTTTTACAGTTTGCTTTCTTTTATAGTCTGTATTCTTGGGAAGGAGGGGGGACAACATATGTGGTATGTGAGAAAATGCACTATGTTTAAAATTGTACATCTGAGGCTCATTCTGTTTTCTTTCTGTTGTTTGATCACATGATTTTCATTTCCAGGCTTTTCTCTGTAACCATTGCTCATCTTTTTAATTAAAAACTTAGATTTACAAGCCACCCCTGACTCCAGGTGCTGGGATTTTGAAATAAACATTTTTTGTGAGAATTATTATACAACTGGAACATTACATTGTGCATAGTAGTGTACAGAGACATGTTTTTCAAGTACATAGTCCCACCAAAGTTGTATGGCTGGTTATTTGAATAGTGGCATCAAAATGGAACTTTCTGGAATCTGGGATTCTAGAACATCTATGATGAACATTTATAATAGTTAATGTGCAAGCAGTATTAAAAAGATTTCCAGTTGTAGAACACTCACAAAGGGGGTTTCTTACCACAAGGAAGCATTTTTTTAACTAACTTGTTCCCTGAATTATAGTAGAATTTGATAAAATCAGGAGACATCTCTAGACAGAGACAGCAAGTGAACTAGACACTGCAAACCCAAGGTTTTTTTATTTTCTTGTATTGCTTTTTACAATAATATTGTGATGCAAGTCACCAGGTGGCACTGTTACACATTGTCGTGCAAGTTCTTTAGGGTGTGAACAATGCACAGTCTTTGGAAAAAAATATTTTCCTATGATTTTTCCAGTGCAGTTTCTTTTTAAAGGAACCTGCAATGTCATAGTGATGTAGCCAGGCACCCAGAGCACAGGGTTGTTCTATGCCCCAGCTGCAATTGCACAGCTACCAGCAGCAGCCTTCCCCCCGTTCCCTTTTCCCTCCCTCAAGTTGGCAACCAAGGCTGTTGCTCGGGTTGCCCTGCCACTGGGAACCTGCGTGAAGTAATGAGAATTTACTCTCTGTCCTAATCTGTTTGATTTAATGCTTGGCCCAGAGTTACCTCCTGGAAACTGTGAATTAATGTTTGGCTGAGATTCCTGAAAAAAGGGATTGTCTATGTGCTGTTTGTGATCACTTCTGTTCAAGAACTATATAGTATGTAATTTAAAATTTTCATTAACCACGTGCTGCTTAGCTAAATTTTTTTCTTGCAGCTTGCAAGGCATAGATGTTTACTGACATTCAGTGGAATAGAAAATAAAATACTTAGAAAAGTAGGGCTAAATGGAGCCTCCTGGGTGCTGACATCCATTCCCAAAATGTAGATGTTATGAATGGTTTTCATGCACTTCTTGACTATGCAGCAATTGAAAGTTTATTTATGCCATTAAAAATTTTAAAATTTGGACTACATGAAAAATTATAGCATTTGTAATATTCAGTGTTTTAAGACTGCATTGCAGTTTTAGTCGGTACCTAATGGGCAAACAGAACAGGAAGGAAAAGAAACCCTGACTCTAACTGTTTCTGTTACCCACTACAAAATCTTACGTTTCCCAATTAGAGAGATGGAAAGGCTTAATAAGGCCTAGAGAGACTTGGAGAACAGTGAACATTTTCCCAAAATATTTTTAACATTTAATTTCCTTTAATTTTCTTTTACTCAAACTTTTGGAAATGTTTTAATTAAGTAAAAGCAAATGCCAAATTATTTCAAATGTGGGTTTTCTTGAGGAGGGAGGGGTACTTTTTTTTCCTTTTCTCTCTCTCCTCTTCTCTGTTTCTCTCTCTCTCTCTCTCTCTCTCTCTCTTTCTCGTCCCCCCATTTTGACACTTAAAGTACAACACAGACCTGAAAGTAGGAATCTGACATAAGAAAAACTAAAATTGTAATTAATGATCTGGAAAACAAGAAAAATGATGGTTTTGTTTTCCATCAAGAACTCAGATTTATTTTTGGAAAATGCTAATATTTTCATGTTTGTTTTTTCTTCTAGTTTAAAAAAACCCACCCAGTTTGGATTAGAAGCATTTTGAACCAGCTCTATTACTTGCATTACATGAAATCTATTTCTAACCACAGTGCAGTGGATGTCTCTTAAGTGCCTACTTGTAACCAATCTTCGTTCAGATTGCTACTAAGCCAATCATAGCATCCATGTTCTGCTCCTTCTGCAGCCAGTGTAGGTTTTTGTTTGTTTTTTTGTTTTAATTTTTTGTTGGTTTTTTTTCATTTTATGTTGTTACATTTTGTTTTATTGTATTAGCCTCTTTTAAAGTCTACAGCTGCTTTCCACCACCACAGCCTTCCTTGGGGAAAATACCCTTCCTGCTGGGCCCCCTTTGGAAATAATTTTCTTTATTGTATACAGTATTTAAGGCCAAGTCCTAAAAATGTTAATAATTTATGCACAATTTAAAATTGTTTTTTTCTTGTATTTTTTTTGCAGAAATGAAATGGCCAAATTGTATAAGCAACATCACTACAGTGCCAGTGTTTCCAATTGCCATATTATTTGGTGTTTTAAACAAAAAACCCTGCCCTAGGAGTTATTGGACAATATGAGAATCTCAGCTTTCTCCTAAAGTAAGTTTGTAACCCTAGTGGTTGTGGAGAAAAGTTGGAAAATGTGATGTAGGGGCTACCTGAAGGCTCAGAAACAAGGCAAAGGACAAGAACTTATTTTTTTTAATCTCATTTTTGGGGAGAATACTCTCAATATTTGGGGTTGGCAATGCCATGGTACTTAGACTCCCTTAGCGGATAGATTCCCTCTGTTACCAATAGGATTTCTTTGCCAGAGCCCTAAAGGATTGACATGGCAACTCATCCAATTTGTCATCAAGTGAACTTTAATTAGTAACCCTTAGACAATATTACAAGTTTCCTCCCTGTAATACAACCTGATAAGTGGCTCTGTATGCGTCTCAGTGGGGACCTTGGTTCTTCTGCTGTGTGCATGATGTCAATGGCTTCTCCGTTGTCCAGCAGAGATGCAGGAGCTGTGCCTGTTTTTTTTCCAGGTTCACCATGTACTGGCACACCTTAACTACTTTTTATAACTTTTTCATACCAAATTAGCCAGTCCTCTGGTACTCAGCCAAACATTTCTCGTATGGTGCACCAATCCCCTGGCATTGTGCCAGGCACATTCTTTATAAAGAAACTGTTGTGCCTTGCTTGTCTAGTGCACCAATCACAGCTCTCACATCTCCCAGTGCCACAAAAGGCACTCTGTTCAATTTTATTGCTTAGCTCCAGGAAGGCCTGGACTGTGGCTAAGAGCCTTAGCACAGCTCAATTTGCCTGCTACCCCTCCAGGGCCAAGTCCAGCCTTTATTGTTCCAAGGTGGATAATTTGCTCTTAGGATGCTTTTAATTAGCATGGCTCTTGGAGCTATGCTAATTAAAGCATCCCCATTCTCACCACCCCCACCTCCTGGAATACATCTATAAGTGCCCACAGATTTTAAGGGACACTTAATGCACATTAACCTATTTTAATGCACATTAACTAAATAGCATTTTTTTAGTGACGCACATTAAAATAGGCTAACGCACATTAAAGTGCACATGTAGATGCGCCATGAAGTACAGCTCCTTTCAATTATATTATTTTCTTTCTGTATTAAGTTGAAGTTCTTAGCAACCTTTTTATTGTTTATGGCCTTCTCATCTTAGACCCCTGGGAATTGCCATATGTTCCAGTTATCGTTATCTGGGAAACATGGTCATATTCCTTGAGATGACTGTTATAACACTAACAGCGTATTTATAATTCATTACAGATTTATGTATGTGTGCCCGCCTTTGCTCTACTAGGTGTTCTCGAGCAGCTTTTGCCCGGGCAGTTGACCTGGTTTGCCCCGGGCCTGCAAGTGGACCCCAGAGGGTACCTCGGATGATGTCGGAAGACCCCCCTAACTCGCCTGCCATGACTTTGAATTGATCCTCAGTGGAGGGGGTCCCCTTCAAGGAAGCCTCCAGGGTCGTCACGCCCCTCGGCGGGCACTCACAGGGCTCCGACCTCCCCTACACCCCGGCCAAACGCCTTCTGCCGCAGGTCTCCAAGTCGTACTTTATTACTGGCCCCTCCTGGTTTCTTCCCTTGGACTTCCCGTTGTCCTAGCGCAGCAGGACCCGGTGTCCTAGGCTGGGCTCTGGTGTGAAGGCTAAGAGGCCCTTGATTCCTGCCGACCCTTACCCCTATTCCAACACCCACTGTGCCACCACATGAAGAAACCCCCCCCACCACCGTGCCTGCTGGGGAGATGCAATCATCAGGCAAGAGGGCCTACAAGGAAAGTAGCGAGCCACCAGCCCATGGAGCCCTGTGACTGCCTGCTGCTTCAGTGTCCCCAAGGTCCGGGGGGTTGTCCTCTAGGCAGCTCCTATCTGGGGACGTAACTATAGTCCCCTGAGGTCCTGTAGGCCCAGCTGGCTCCTCTTGGAGGTGCTGTGAGCCTCCTCTGGCCCCCTAACTCCACTGGCCTTCCCAGTTCGGGACCTCCCACCGCCTCTACTGCAGCTATCCCCGATAGGGTCTCTGCCGGTCTCACTTCTGTCATCTTTGCTCCTCGCTGTCCCTCGACTCCGGGCTTCCCCGTAGCTGTCCTGGCTTTTGCTGCTCCCTCCACTCTCGTTGCTCTCTCTGCCGGCCCCTCCGCTGACTTCACTGTTGGTTTCTCCACTGGCTCCTCTGCCAACTCCTTTGCCAGCTCCTTCGCCGGTTTCTCCTCCGGCTCCTCTGCCGGCTCCTTCGCTGTCTTCTTTGCTGGTTGCTCCACCGGCTCCTCTGCCGGCTCCTTCACCGGCTTCTGTTCCAGTTGCTCCACCAGCTCCTCTGCTGACTCCTTTGCCGGCTTCTATGCCGGTTGCTCCACCATTGCGGCTCTCGCTGCTTCCGCAGCTGCAGCTGCCCTCGCCGCCTCGGGCAGACAGACCCTGTGGGTGTGTGCTCCTGGCCTCAGGTTCCCCTGCGGGCTCTCCGGTCATCTGCACACCGCCTGCGCCCTCGGGGCTGCACTTTATTCCTGCCGGGTGGCGTCTATCGCTGATGTCACCCGGCCCCAGCTGAATATGAGCGCGGCTAATGAACCGCGCAGGTGGTTTTCCAGCGCGCGCTCCTCTGCTGCCTCCGGCTCCTGTGAAGGGTAAGTAAGGGCTTTCTTCCCCTTCTATTTTGGCCCGGGGTTCCCCCATAGCCCTGGCGTCCCTCGGACAGTATGTTGTGTCTAGATTGATTGGTACTATGTATTACTCCTTTTACTGCAATAATTTTCCATCCATCTCCTTCCCATTCTTGGACCAAACCTGCTGTTTTGCCTGACAGGACCTCCTTTCATAATCTGTCTAATCTGGAAATATAAATTTTAATAACTTATATTACTTGATCCTTCCTACATTGTTTTTTTGTGTAAAAAAAACAAGCTTGCATTTTGTGCATGTGTAGCCCTCCTAAAGGTCACACACGAAGAATTTTGCCTTCCTCCAATGGTAGTCTCCTTGGATTCCCTTAGTAGTCTCTTCTATGTCCCATCTGACAATTCTTACTGTAGTAAACCCATTTTCTTTTTTGTCATTTTTCAATATGTCTTCAGGAACTTGCCCAATATCGAGTCAACACACATTTTCTAAAAGGAGTTTAAAACCATCTGTTTACTGGGTATGTGTTCCATTGCCCTCTGTCACAAATCCTCTTCCAGAGAGAAGCTGGATTCTTTACCTATTATCACTTTGAAATTCTACTTCATCAGTGCATAGTACCATTCCCCTGGACCAAAGACAAAAAGTAGCCTTACTCCACTGAGCTTCTGCTTTCTATTATGATGTTCTGGACAATAAGATAGTAAGGTAGAGATGGCCTTGATAGGTAGTAGAGAAAGAAGGCTGTTTGTGATCCTGAGAGAATCTTTCAGCAAAGAGGATGGAGAGGAGCTGAGCAAAGGGAAGGCTATGGCAGAAAATGAAAGCTTGAGTTAAATCAGATAGCATGTATATGTGCTCCAGGGGGGGAAGCTGCTCTTTTGGGATTATCCTCACATTAAGGAAAAGTATCAGAGTTTCCATGCCCCAACTAAATTCAACTCCATGACAAGGCAGAATCTAGGGTGTGCAGAATCCCTGGTGTAGCATCTCTGTAACTTCACTCCCTCAGAGCAGTATTGTATCTTAGACAGAAATGTAAGGGGCTAATATTTCTTATTTAGCCAAGAATCAGATATATAGAGGCTGACAGAAAAAATGTTCTGAAATTTTCAGATGGCCAAAAGGCACAAAAGAGTCAGATGTAAATGAAAACCATGGAATCTGCACTGAGAATATTTCATATTCAAGTTTTTTTTTCCTTCCTTAACCTTAAAGTTATGCAGAGGAATGATAACAGCTGATTTCTTGTCTCAAATTGGATGTCAGAATGAAAAGAGATGTATCTAGTGTAATCCAAAAAAAGGACTCATACAAATCAATTTTCACAACTCCTGTGAGAATAATTGTAGGAAAAAATCTGCAATAGTTAAGCATCTGAGAGACTCATGGTAAGAATAAAGAAAATATTTTACCTGATGGTAGGAGTTTTGGAAAACAATCAGAAAATTCATCTGCGTAATTCAGTTAATGATTTTTCCACTTCCTTCTTTAATAATTTTCCATCCATTTTTTTGCCCTCTCCCTTTCACTTCTTGTCTCATGTCCAAAACAGACCATTTCCAGCAAGTCAGTGCAGCATAGGAGCACCAGAGAAGCAGAAGTGTATGGATTCACAATCAAAGGACAGGCATTTGGATACCAGAGTGATCAATCTAGTAGAAATACCTAGAAAGACATGTATAAATGGAGGTTGCTGATTAACGTCTCTCTATAATTGAAGGGAACTATATCGCTGGCAGTATTGGCTGTTTTAGTCCTAAAAGATTCTATTATGATATTTTCCTACTTATGTATATAGACATTAGCTAAGAGTTGTATGCAACTTGTGTTACAAGCCCCAAATATACAAGAATGTTGTCTGTTCATAGTTTTTGTAATGAATTTGAAATTTGGTCCCATGTTTCTTGAAAGCCGCAGGAGTGTTGGAAGAAATCCAGATACAGGCTTTTTTAATGTACCTGAAAGATTTATTGTTTCATGCCCATGTTGAACTCACTGTGAAATGGAGTAATTTTGATGGTCTCTCCAAGCTAAAACTCAAAGCAAAACCTCAAGGGATATTCCCTATGTAAATTGAAACCAAAGACAAGGCTCGTACAAACTCCTGCTATCAATGTATGACACTTATGGCCACTATTACTAGCAGATGCAAGCACCTCATAGTCTTTTCTGCATTTCTCTTTTAACACGTACCTAAGGTAGGTAAAACCTTTCTGATGTGGTTCGATTTCTTTATAATATGGAGCTAAGACCCAAGTGGCTAAGTGGGCCATATAGAAAGCCTACTAGAGCACATAGGAAGTCTGTTGACATCAGTTGTAACATATCCCTGTCTAGTGCTTTCACCCCTATATCATCCTTCCTTTTTTGCCAAGCTCAGTTGATAGAGTTTCGCAGAGTATGAGTGTTTGTTTAGATTTATAAAATAGACATTAATATATAGAACCTACCAAAATTATGCTTTTGTGGTTTTTGCAGAAAACGTGAAATCAGGTATTTGCTGTGAAAAACTGCAGGCTCCACAATTTTGGCAGGCTTGATACAAAAAAACCCCCAACTTATCAGCAAGGAGAGAAAAGCGAAGGGGGGGGGGGGGGGGGGGGGGAGCAGCCCAGCCCTGCAGCCTTGGGGCACAGGGGGAGGGGGAGCAGATGAGAGACTGAGCCTGTGATGTAGACTCAGTAAAAGCACCAGTCCCAGGCCAGTCAGGGAACCAACAGGGTTTTGTTGCCATCTTTTAAGCATCCAGAGGCATGCTGCAGCAGCATACTGCAGCCTGAGGAGGATTATGCTGCAGTTTGGGGCCATCTACCAACCTGTGGCAAGGGGTGGGACCAACAGGGCCCCCCAGGCCCCCTTGGGCAATCAGAGGCATTGGGGGGGGGGGGGGGCTGCCACAATAAGCCCATAAAAAGGGCAGCCAGTTTTGTAATTGGCGTCCAAAATCACCCATCTGCTGCCTTGATTTGGGTAGGTCCCTATTAATATATAATAATCCAGGTCTCTCGGTACCTTTGCATGTATTAAAATGCAGTCATACTAATACAAACAAAAATAAAACCAGTAGCTATCCAAAAACAGCAGAAAGACAAAATTCCACCCAGTCGTAACACTCCATTTTTGGCACACAACATATGACTGCATTTTAATACATGCCTGTGCATGCCCTCAGCCTTAACAGATTAGTGCTACTTTGGACCATGGTGTGGAGGGAGTGAATTACAGAGTTGTGAGTCTCTCCTTGTCCATCAGGCTGAGGGAACTCCAGCTTGAGTGATTCCTGATCACAGCTGTAGCAGAATAAAAGACCTGTTTTAGAAAGTAGGTTGGCAATAAGCCATTTAGGGGTTTTCTGGTCAAAATCTACACTTTCAAATATACCTAGACAGCAACAGGCACCCAGTAAAGAGTTGTCCACATGTAACATGTGTAGAGATACTGCTAATTTCTCTTTATTCCTGACAAAAAGTTCTTCCTTATGCCTTATTCCTGCCAAAAGTACCAAAAATTTGCTTATTCCTGCCATAAAGTGCCAAAAATTGACAGACAATTCACATAACCTGGTAACAAGTAAAAACAGTCTCACCGTTTCAGTCTGTCATGTTCTTAATTTTCCATGCATTGACACACTTCTCAATACATCCTGTCGCAGAGCACTTAGGTGCCCTGTTCCTTTAAAGAGTGGAAACTGCTAGGGAA